GAGACATTAGAAAGCACTTGGGGTGGTCTGGGGCAGCAGCTCAGATGCTTCAATACTTGAATAATTGGTACAGCTATACCAAAGCATACAGCAAAATATTAGCTTTAAATATAAGGACAGCCAAGAAGTGTTCCTTGCCTGTGAGGAGAGCATAGAGGACAAATAATTACTGATAACCACGATACCAGGCTATATGAGAAGAGCTATGTGAATGCCACAAAAAGAAAAAACTGTCAAAGGTGTTTCCCAGCAGGCCTGTGGGGCCTTAGGTCCTCTCCTCTCCCCTGGGGTGAAAGAACAGCTAGGGCTTCCCTTTTAAGCACCGTTGTCAATAAGATGGACCTCATTTTCTTGGGCCAATGGGTCCCGCTGAATGAATGCATGACCCCCTCTCACCTCCGTTCTTGGGTGAACCCTGCACACCAGCTTTGGCTCAGTGCATCCCTGTCACTATATTATAAGCAATGATGATCGAGAAAATCTGCAACTTTAACTTGGTACTTATTTCCTCAAATTCTCCTCTTCCAGAGCCTTCTATCTCCTGATCTCCCCCACCTTCTCCCATTGTGTGGATGACACAGTTCTTTGCCTGCAGGCATCTCTAGGAGGATCCCTCCATCCCAAAACAGGACTCAGAGGTCTTGAAACACAAGACCTCAGAATCTAAGAATCCTATAGGCAGGACCTGAGAGTTGCTATCATTTATTCATTCATTTCTTCCACCCCTCCCCCCTTTTCTGTATTGTATGCTTGCAAGGTGCTCGATTCCAGGCTAGGCTCCAAGGACATGCAACATGTCAACCAGGAGATCCAGGTCTACAGGGAGACAGGCATACAAACAGTTACAGTAGAGAAAATACAGGATGGGGCAAAAGTAGTTTTACAATTGTTTGTATGGAAAATAATACAATAATTAATAAATAATAATACAAGAATAAACTGTGTTTCACATACTCACAACTGTCTGCCTACTTTTGCCCTGCCCTGTAATTGCTTTCTTAGAGCCAGGTAATGCAGGCTTTGGCCATACGTTTGATGGTTCCACCTAGACCCTGTCATGGGTATGCCCTCAGTGCTGCCAGTGGCACACCACCGCCTCCCCTCTCTCTCAGACTCAGAGCTAGTTTCAGTCACTCCCTTTGCCCTGCTCCCCAAATCCAATCAATGCCAGGTTCTGTTAACTCTGTCTCTGTAAACTTTATCATATTCTCCTGCAGTACTTAGGGCCCCTGCCCATGTCTCACATGAAACCCAAAGATCGAGGGCAGGACCTCCTAGCTCTTCCCTTCCCTCTTCCAGGGCCACGAAGGCTGAGCACTGCACACTCAGTGTTGCATCCTGGCGAGTCATGCAGCACAGCGACCCTGCCCACCTACCCTCCACAATGCTGCTGGGGTCCCCTTCCTCAAATAAGCTGTCCCGAAACCCTCAAATGTTCCGCTTTGTCCACAGTAAAGAAAAATTCAACCTGGTTTGACCTTCAAAGGCCTAGTACGTTCTAGCTTCCATCTTTCTTCCCAATCTTATTCCCACTCTTCCCTTTCCCTTCCCTTTTTTAGCTGAACTAGATTGACACTTCTTGCAGTGTCTGCAGCCTGGAATACTCTGCTGCCTTCCTCTTCCCATAATTCCAGTTCTTACCTATTATTAAAGAACCAGCCCATTTGTCACCACTCTCAGGGGCCCCTTTCTGATTATTCCACTTGGACATGATCTCTCTCCTTCCATTCACCAGTCCTGTCCCATTGGCATAATTTCCATTTGCCCATAAGCCTTCTCTCCTACAAGGTTCTCAGATCCTGGCTTATTCTTTTTGGCCTTCAATTTGGCACATGGTGGCAGGCCAGATTCACAAGTTCTTAGTAAGTATTTATTGGGTGAATAAATTAATAACACACTGGTTGCTATATCTGTTTCTCTTTCTCTAGATTTGTTTTTCTCTCCCCTGTGTCCGTTCTGGACACTTTGTGGTTCCCTCACAGCCATAGTCTCTTACAGGTGGTATATGCAAGGGGTTGACCTGACCCTCACTGACCTCTTTCCTCCCCCTCTCTCTAAATGCAGGCTCAGAGGAGGAGCTGGAGGAGCTGTGTGAACAAGCTGTGTGAGATGTTCAGGCTTACCTCCAACCAAGAGTGTGCTCTGGATTATTTGGGCCCTCTCTGGCACCAAGTCCTGCTCCTGAGAGAAGAAAGGATCTCAGAAAACACCCCTCTTTTCACCATACTTCCTGGAACCACTGGAAGAGTAGTCGTGATGGTGGGTGGTGGGAGGTGTTGTTTCCTGTTCCCAGATCCAGAGCTTGTCTGTAGAACACATCAGCAGTGCAGCAAGCCCGTGTCCAGCAGGGAACCAGCTACTACCTGTGTGGGCTGGCTCCCTTGAAGTCTGTTTGTTGAGAGCAGGAAGCTAGGTATGGGTAGATAAGTGTTATAAAGGTGCTGCTCCTTCCCCCAGCCCCAAGCAGGTCTTCCTCATCCCAAGTCTCATGTTCATACCAGCCAATGGGTCCAGCTGAATGCATGCATGACCCCTTCTCACCTCCTTTCTTGGGTGAATCCTGCACACCAGCTTTGGCTCCTCCTTGATAAGGCTGCTGCGTCAGCAGCAATCCTGGCTCTTATAATTTTCCTTTTTTGCAAAAGAATCAAGAGCATAGGTGACCCCTGAGCCCTAAAAGTGTGTGGAGGGGGGAGCTCTGCAGTTCTCCAGGCAGTGCCCACCCTGGTACACAAGGGGATGTTTTTCCCTTCTTGTCCTTAATTTTCATATACACTAAATTAAGTCAGAGGGGAGGCTCTGGGAAGCCAGAGTATGAAATTCTCTCCCCAAGGTGGTATATAGCACCTTGAAGAGCCTGGGGTGAAGTCCCTGATCTTCAAACTCCCTTATCACTCCAGCAACCTCAATTTCTCTGGAAGTTGGGTTGGGGGAGAGGAGGGAATAACTGCCTTGGAGATTTCCTATCTCAAAGTCCCAATGTGGGTGGGCAGAAAGAGGAGGATCTCTGTTGGACTTCATTTAGGAAAAGGGAAGATGGAATGAAGGTAGAAAGGACAGAATTACAGCTGACCAAGGACAACAAGGAATTCTTCTCTGGGAGGTTTCTCTCAGAGCAGGGATGGGGAATAGGAAAGACCAAAGAAAAAGCAAAGTGGGACCCCTTGGGTTTAGAATTTTCCAGAGGCTCAGCTTCCCAGTATAAGCCATACAGGCCAGAGACACACAGGATGGTGTGCATGTGAGAGTGGAGTCAGAGCAGGAAGCCTGGTCTGAGTAGCTGGTACCCAGTGGGCAAGGGCTGAGGGGCCTCCTTAGGGTGACATTCACCCCAGGGCAGCTTGACCATTGCTGGCCCCTCAGGCATTATCCCATTTGGAATGTGAATGTGGGAGCAAAGTGGGCACAGGACCCCACCTGGGAATCTTCTTCCCTCAGAGTCAGTGGGGAACTGGCACCTAGGCATCCACATGGTTATTTATATCTGAACCAGACAGAAAGACGCTTGAATCAGGCACTATGTTGAGAAATGTATTTATTTGCTAATATATTTATCCATAAATGCGATCTGGTCTTGTGGTTTTTTTCTGTTGTGACTGTGACTCAGGGTAACAACTTCGTCTTCTACATCAACAGAAATAAATACTGATATCAGAGGGTAGGCTCTGCTTTATGACAGGATAGGGTGGAATGGTGGGCTTGGCAGCAAGAACTGATGTGTAAGCCCCTAAAAGCATGGTTAAATGAGATCAAGGAAGGAGAAAGAATGACTGGATTCTCACTGTGGCTCAGCCTGTATTATTACCGTACCATTTACTTCACTCTCTCATTTATGATGCTTCAGTGACTCTCTGTGATCTTGGGCTAATACTCTGTGCCTCGCTTTCCATCCGGAAAATGGGTCTCCTTCACAGTTGTTGTTGCAGCGCTCCCCTGGGATAACGGAGGGAAAGCATGTTCCAAAGGGGAGGGTATTCAGTGACAGAGCACGTCCTAACCCTAGTCACAGAGCCCAATTGAACACCGCACCGGCGGCCTTGAAGCAGCTCAGTTTCAATTAGGCCTAGTTGCGAAGACAGAACAGCAGGGTCTGAAACTATCTACACCCCAAAGCTCCAGTCAGATAAACACGACTGGCTGTGCTCTGCCTACACGGGCACTATTGTGCGCTCTGCTGGTATGAAATTCCACGGGGGCCTCGAGAGGCCTTTGCTCTCCTCTTCAAAGAACACATTTCCCCCTTTGTTTCCTGGGAAAGATTTGGTAGGGGTGGTGGTTGTCTGGTGCCCAATTTTGAACCACAGACAGAGCAAGGCAGTTTGCTTCCCACAGGGTAAAATAAAAAAATAAATAATAATTAAAGGACAATCCCATACAGATGTTCTGAAATAAAAAAAACTGTCTAAATGCTAAAAGTTACACAAAGCATAAAGCATCAGCTGCAACGACGAAACGTACGTAGAGAGTTTTACGTAATTAAATATGCATTATTTTCTGCCTTGCCGTCTGCTCACAGGCCGGCAGTCCTGCGGACAGCAAACGGACACCTATAAGCTCTCGCAGATAGGAGGGAGGGGGGCTATCCCTGGATTCCTTTTCGCCTCTGCAGAGATAATCCAGAGGGAGACAGTGGACTCTAGCCCTGCACTTTCAAAATGGGAGACAGAAAAGAATCTTGGTTGTCATCTAGGATCCTCCTAAGAAGACTGGCGGGCGGCCTGGTGCCAGCGGCCTAGATCAAATGGCCCGCGCCGCCGCTAGTTCCCGCGCAGGCGCCAGCCCCGCTGCCCTTCCCCCACGGGCCCCGCCCACAGGCCCAACGGCTGCCCTGGCCTCGCCCTCGCTGGCCCAGGTGACTGGGGGGCGCTCTTCGGCCCAGGTGACTCCCCACCGCCCCGCCTCCTGGCGGGAGAAACCATCTCCAAAGGCGGGGGTGGTGGGTGGGGGGGAAAGAAACCGTGCCCGCAGCCTTCCACACAGGAAGCGGAAATCGGAGGCACCGGAAGTGATGGGCATTCTGGGTAGTTCGTTGTTTATATTCTGCGGAATAGGCAGCAGTGGCGGTATAGCTGTTCTTTCGTCGGAGACGATGGCCCTGGAGACTGTGCCCAAGGACCTGCGGCATCTGCGGGCTTGTTTGTTGTGTTCGCTGGTCAAGGTATGCCTCAGGGACCTGGCTGTAGGGGTAATGGGGGACCAAGTTGAGGAAAGTGGGTGGAACGGGGTGCGGAAAACTGCAGGAGGCCATTGTTTACTTCGGTGGGAACAGATCTTGCAGCCGTAGGCACGGATGGTCTTACATGCTTTCGAATCCTCTACTCTTAGCACAGGCCTGACCCTTAACAGACGTTCAGGGAACTTATTGTTGGATCCGAGGCACACTGGGAGTCAGAAAAGCGAGAGGTGCAGATCAGTAGCAGAAGGAGTGGTTGAAAAAGTTGCCTGACCCTGAGGAAACTAGGGGAAGCGCAGTTGGGAAGTTGAGAAGAAGGAATGTGAGGATGACACTAGGGGCTGTGGGATTGGTGAGCAGGGATCTGATGAGACCTGAGGAGACAGAGCCAACGTAGGAAGCCTTCTACTTGACCACGTACAAGTAGGGAGAAAACTGCTTTTTCTTTTGGCCTTGTTCATACTCACCTCTCTTCTTAAAATTTTTCATTCGCAGACTATAGACCAGTTCGAATATGATGGTTGTGATAATTGTGATGCATACCTTCAAATGAAGGGTAACCGAGAGATGGTATATGACTGCACCAGCTCTTCCTTTGATGGGTAAGCCCCTTCCCCACACCACACCACCAATAAATGTGGGGCAGATTTTGAGACCATAATCCTGATGGATCTGAAAGTTATTTTGAGACACACTGCCCAGTACAGTAGCCACTAGCCATTTGTGGCTTTGAGTGTATGAAGTGTGGCTAGTCCAAATTGAGATATGCTTTAAGTGTAAAATATACACTGGATCTCAAAGACTGAGCACAAGAAAAAGAAGGTAAAATATCGTTTGTGGTTTTTTTTATTAATTACATGCAAGAGTGATAATACTTCGGATATATTGGGTTAAATGAAATGTGTTATTGGAATTAATTTTTCCTTTTGTCATTACTGTTTTAAGTGTGGCTCCTAGAAAGTTTAAAATAGCTTGTAAGGCTTTTATTATATTTTCACTGGACATATCTCCACTGGGCTTTCAGCTCATTGATGTTGATAGGGACTCTGTTATCTTGTGCACCAGGGCCTGGAAGGTTATGGATACTTAGTGTTTGTTGAGTGCATGATGAGAAAGGAAGGTACAGTGATGGTAAATTATTGCCCCAAAGCTGATGCTTTTAGATGTCTGTAAGAGGCCCGGTAAGAAAAGTTTATCCTTATCCAGATTGTCCAGTGGGGAAAAGAGGAAACGAGATAAACATAAGTGGCCAGGCCTCAATTTTCTTCCCAAGATAGGAGCCAGAGGGCAGTGTTTTTTAGGGGTTAAGAAGGTACTGTTCTTTCTTTTGCCCTTAGGCCAATTAAGGTTTTTCACACAATCTGGGCTTAAACCCAGTACTTGCTAAAGTTCTTTCAAGGTGAGCCTACTCCATTTCTTCTTTGATTTGTTTTAAGGAAGAATAAAGGATTGGGCAAAAAAAATATTGTCATAGAACCTTTACTTCCTACATATACATATGCACACTCGATACTTTAGTCCCTTTGTTCATTTGTTACTACTGTTTATTAAAAAAAGGCCAAAATGGAGTCACTTCTGCTAAGCCGTGGCACCAAAACAAAACTTAGTAAGCAACCTAATCAGAGTTTCAATGAATCCTAGGTTTTCTCTCTTAGAACTACTGTGCTGGCTGGGAACAGAGTAGAGGGCAGTTCCTCAGTCTCTCTCTTTAGGAGGCAAAAGCCCTGGCTGAATATTTCTTTTCCCTTCCTAGAATCATTGCAATGATGAGTCCAGAGGACAGCTGGGTCTCCAAGTGGCAGCGAGTCAGTAAGTATCTCCCTTTTTCCTTAACCTGAGCTGGTGGTGTTGGTGTCTCTCAGTCCAGTGGAGGAGTTTTAAATCAGTGGCTGAGAGGCCTCAGGAGTGAGAGAGAGAGGGCTGTAGGATAGACAAGGACACTGTCTTGTGTCCTGTCACTTAATATTTATAGCTGGAAGTGATTGTTTTTCTTTTGGAGTTGCAGCATTTAAAAAAAATGTTTAGCCTACGCCTTCATTTGATTTTTAGTCTTAACTCACTGTCACTGCAATTTCTTTTCTTCTTTTTCAGGTAACTTTAAGCCTGGTGTGTATGCAGTGTCAGTCACTGGTCGCCTGCCCCAAGGTAATAATCATAACAACTGCCAATGTTTGTTTACTGCACCTATCTACTTTATGTGAATTAATTACCGGTCCTCACAAGCTCTGAGGAAACCCAGGCACAGAGAGGTTAAATAACTTGCCCAAAGTTACCCAGCTAATAAGTGAGGAGGCAGAATTTGACCCTAGGCATTCTGACTCCAGAATCCTTGCTTTTGACAACTGCGATGTGCCTCTTTCTCTTCTCACTGTTACCAGGACATTGCCAAACACTTGCCTGGGTCTTCAGTGGTAACGGGCCAGCCAGGCAGCACTTTCAGTGAGCAGTCTAGAAATTCCCCTCTCCCCACAAAGTGTTAGCTGAAGGACCTTTCTTATCTTCTTCACTCACGGAGCTGTTTTCTTTTTCTGCCACAGGGATTGTGAGGGAGCTGAAAAGCCGGGGAGTTGCCTACAAATCCAGAGACACAGCTATAAAGACCTAGCAAGGTGCTCGGCTGCCAGCGTTTGCTGCCACTTCTTGCCTCTGCTTATTTATTGTTGTGAAACTAAATGGACAGAACTTCAGATATTCCTCGCTCTCGAATTCTGAGGTTCAGCAGACTGTTGAGAGAGCAGCCCATGTTCCTGGGCCATTTTACCTTCTTTTACCTTCTCTGGACTAGTGGGTGGGGGGAGCGGTGTGGGTTGGTGGGTTAATAGAGAGTGAACTGAAGGTGGAGCAAGAGGCTGTTTTTCCTCCCCACAGCTGTAGGCTGCCTCCTTGCCTGTGGGCAGGACTCTGTATCGAATGCCAATAAACATGAACCCATAGCCCATGACAGGTGTCTCGCGTCCTCTTAGCCGGGCACAGGAAGAACTCACTTGCCTTTTAAGAACTCACTTCCCAGAGCAACAGGGGCCCCTGCCGTCGGGAGCCCCCAGGGTTGCAGCCTTCGCAGCGCGCTTCCCTGGGTCTCACTGGAAGGTCTGCTGTCCGGAGCCTAGGCACTGCCTCCCGTTACCTGGTGGTCCTGGTGTCCGGAGGTTGCCACCTCCTGCCCTCGGGACCTAGCACAGCAAGTCTACACTTAATATTCTTCACCACTTGACCATATTTAATACTCCATTTTTCCTTCCTTATCTGTTTCTTTTTACTGTTCTTCCTATACGTTAGGCCAGCCAGTGGCACTCGTGGCCTCTGCTTCCCCCAGGCACCCACATTCTGCCCCGCTTCCCTGGCTGGAGACCCTCCAGTGGCTGCTGGGCAGGGCCTGGCTAGTTTGTTCCTCCGTAGGGGGCGGGTTGCTCCCTTTCTCCTCTGGCCGAGTAGGAGGCCTTGAATAATGTTATTGGCCAAAGTGAGTTACTTGCTTTGGAATTAAGAATTTACCGTAAATCCTCAATTTCCTAAATTTCTACCAGAAAATCCTGTTAGTATCCCCATTTTTATTTTGCTAGATTTCATGTTTTCTATCTGTAAAATGAGAATGCCTGTTTACCCCAGGATTGTTGTGATTATAAAAATGAAGCAATGTGGAAATTCTGTACTTGTTTTTTTTTTCTTTTAGTTTTTATTTATTTTTAGAGGGGAAAGGAGGGGAAGAGGGAGAGAAACATTGATGTGTGAGAGAAACATCAATCAGTTGCATCTTGCACGCCCCCGAGTGGTGACCTAGCCCACAACCCAGGCATGTGCCCTGACCAAGAATCAAACCAGTGACCTTTTGATTTGCAGGCCGACAACCAAGCCGCTGAGCCACACCAGCCAGGGCTCTAACTTTAGTTTTATAAAAGAATTCATTTGCTCTCCTTTTGTTAGCCATTCTTCAATATAAACAATAAGTGCCCTGTCAAAACTGGGTGGAAATGCCCAGAACTGCCACTGCAGGGTGCGCTTCGACTCATTAGCAAAGGTGCCTGTGCTGGGCTATGTGTCTCTTAGCCAGCTGGTGTTGCTAGTGAGTCAGTGTCTTGTTCCCTGTGGTGGGGAGTGTGGGAAGGAAGGAGAGAGGCTGACTCAAGTGGCCGCCCCCCTCCCCTTCCTTGTCCTCATAGGCCTGTGGGAGGGAAGCTGGGGTTGGCCCCGCCGCTCATGTCACCGCTCACGGGTCCTCACACCAGTACCGTTACTTGGACGCCTTCAGATTCTAAGGGAATCGTCTGTAAACCCCAATGCAAACTGAATTTTTCAAGGATTTTCCCAGCCCAGCAAACCGAAAGATCTCCAGGTGTGGGGGTTTCTGGTGTTCAATTTCAGTATGAAAGGCACTTTGGGAAGCAGCCACACCGGGCAGGAGCCTATACCCCAGAGGGAAGAAGTGGGTTTCAGCAAGAGGGCCTAGGCCGGGCAGCCAACACCCAACTTTCACTGGCTTTCTCAAAAAGTCCCTTGGAAAGCCCCGATTGCTGTCCTGCGTGTCTGACCCGGACGTGGCTGCTTGGTGAGAATGGAAACAGTGGTGGGGAGGGGAGGCAAGAGGAGCTGTGCACAAATAACCGCACTCAGGCTGCCTCAGCCCCACACTGAACTGGGGCCTTAACTGCCAGCCTTGCAGGAAGCGAAAGACACAGGCACTAATGGTTGTGGGGGAGGGGTGGCCAGTGGCAGCGACTGGATTTTAAAGACTCAGTGGGCCAAGTGGGCTGCTTCTGAACTTGCTTCCATGCTCTCCCTGGTCCTTGAACCTGCTTGTGGTGCCACTCAGCAGCCCAAAGAGGTAATAAGGCTCCGGAGCCCCACGCCTTGCAGGGAGCTCGAAGAAGCTGAAACAGGGACTGCTGTTTCTTCCAGGCCCCCTGGGAGAGAGCAATGCTGTGTGGGAGAGGTTTCAGGTGCTAGCACTGCCGTCCTGCCTTCTGCACGCATGAGGGCTGTGCCCCGCTCACCGCGCCTGCCAAAGCTTCGGCCCCGTTCCAATGGCGGAGGTCCCACATCTGCCCAGGATTTTGGTCTCTTTCCCTAGTTTGGCTTCTCTCCTTCAGAAAGGCAAGGCTCCTCCCTAGTTCAACATGAACAGGCTCCAGTCAAGCAGATTAGAAACAGAACAGTGCCCAGGCTGTCTTCTCCTCGCCCGCTTATTTCTCGTTCTCCGCCCCCCCAGCCCATCAGAGTCTGTGTGGTTAGGGCGTCTTCTCTAAACTGAGCGGCTAACAGTGCACTGCTGAACACAGCCTCCAGCCCAAGGCAGAGATGGGTAGCTGATAAAACGAGGGTTAGGCCATTCTGGTCTTAGAGGGGAGCACTTTCCCCAAGAGTAATGGGGGTGCACTGATAGAAACCTAAACTCAGGCTGGGCTCTTCGGTTTGGGGCCGGGGGCCTTGCTCCTCTGAGCATGGCCCCTGCCCTCTAACTCCCAGGCTGTCTATAACCCGCTATGTAACCCTCCAGTCCCGGCCAGACACCTGATCTCTGTGGGGATAGGATGTTTAAGAACAGACTAATAACACCCCGCTTTGTCTGGGAGTGTGGTTCAGGTTTAGTATCAGTCAAAGCCTTTCATTTCAATAGCATTTTACAGTTGACAAAAGAGCTTTTATGTCTATTATCTTGTTTGATCCTCACAAAACCCCTGTGTCATAGTTAACATCCTTATGTAGTGACGAAGAGACTGAGGCTCAAAGAGTTAAAGTGACTAAGTTATGACCCAATTTAGGGCTGCTATTTCCAAAATAGTTATACCCAAATGTAGCAAGCCTGCTCCCTTCTTGAGTGTTCCACAGCAGCAGCGTGAGGCGTTCACTTGTTGAGTGAAAGTTACATGCCCTGCACGCCGAGCGTCCCCAACCACCCTATCCCTACCGCCTACAGCTCAAGTCCCCAAGTCTAAAATTAGCTAAAGATAGGGAGGCAGTGTGGGGAAATGGCCCAAGAAGGGGATTTACTCTGGAGTCCCCGTGTTGAGCCCTGGGAAAATGGTCAGGTCTCCAGTTTCCTATGGCCCAATCTCGTGTTCCACTCCAGCAGCTCCTAGGAGGCCGCTGACCTGCGCCCCATACCCCTCAGACTCGCCTACATTGTGCTGCTCACCACCTCCTTCCATCTGCAGCCCAATTATGGCACCTTCACACCCCAGTGAAACACTGAGACTCGTGTGATAAAAATACACTATGGGGGCATTGCCCCTGCCTCCCAGCCCTGCTGCCCTCACCACCCACCAGCCTTGACTTTTCTAAGCCACTTTACTGCTCCAAAACAAGTTTCCTCTCTAGACAATGCAGTTACCAATAACTTTAGTGTCAGGAAGCAGGAGAGTGGGTACCCATGAAAGGTGGGGATGGAAAAAGTGGGGGGTGGAAAAGGGGCTCCCGAGGTCCTGGTTATAGTTTCTTTCTTGATCTGGATGCTGGTTACATAGGTGTGTTCACTTTCTGAAAATTTATTGAGTTATGCACTCATGATTTGTGTTGTACAAACTTTTCTGTTTGTACATTGTATCACAAAAGTTCCCTTAAAGGTGCAGATGGCCATCCCTGTCTTGGGATAGTTGTGAGGCTCAAATACGTTAATTTAGGTAAAAGCAATTTAAGAGTTGTAAGTGACTAAGTGTGCTGAGGGATTGTCATGGTCCAAAATTGTTCACCTCTACGTAAGTTCTAGGTCAGTGTGGAAAGACTGTCGTCCCTCTAGCATTGTTGGTCAATAGATGTTCCAATACACCTATCATATATAAATATATCAAAACTGAAACATTTTCCTGCAAGTACATGGCTTTTTATTTTAATCTCTTTCTGTTCTCTTATTGTTTTTTATGACTTAAATCTTTTTTTTTTTTTAAATATATACTTCGTTGCTCTTTGGATATGAGATTCTGGACCTGACTTTATCTCTACTTGGCTCAAAGTCATTGTCATAAACCTCTGTTTTTGTATCATGTGGCAAAATTGTTTGGGGACTGATGATAGTCTACCTCTTGAATTCATGTTGCCTGTCAGGGGTCTTGTCTTGTGCACACGTATGCCTGTCCCCCCTCCCAGTCTTGTCTGAGCTAAAAGAACAGGCGGGCACGTTGGGCCAAAGTTGCTGTAGGGAGGGCCAGTGAGGCTTAGACTGAAGAAGAAAGCCCGTGGCTGTCTGCCTGGGCCTTGGGGCTCAAAGGCCTGCACCAGGGAGGGTGAGGTCCAGAGCGCTGGGCTGTAGGACAAATGAAGGCAGATCACAGAGAGCATGGGAGGCCTGGGGGAGCCATGACTTAGGCCAGCCCTTCACTGTATGGGGCAGAAGACTAATTCCCAGAGACTGTGGTCAGCCTGGCCTCAAGAGGGGGTCCTTGATGCTTTGTCTGTCCTGCACTGCCTGCCTCGGTGCCTTTTGCCTATAGCTGCTGGTGATTCTCTTTGCTTTTAAGATCGTGAGTGCAGAGAAAACTCTGCCCTGTGCTGCTGGCACCTCTCAGACACGCCACGGAGAGCATCTTCCCCCTAGACCTCAGCACTCCTGTTCTCAACCTGCCTCCAGAGTGAAGGGCAGGCATTATGGGGTTATGGATGGGGGATTTGACACCAAAGCTTTTGGGGGCCCATCCCACAGCACAGGGAGGCCTGGGGCTGAGAGAAGTCCCAAATGGGGCTAACAGGCCCAATTCAAGAACCCCCATGCATTGTTTCCCGCCTGTGCACTCCCCTTCCTCTGAACTCAACTCTTGTGCCACAGAGACAGGTGGAGGGAAGGTGAGGACAGGGCGGGGCGGGGCGGGGTGAGGGGGGCGCGGGTGTGCAGCTTCTCTCCAGAATGGATTCCTCATTCCTTCTTCTCCCAACCCAGCAACTGCCACCCTTTCACTGCCAACCCCTATCCCGGAAAATACCTGGAAGGAAGTGAGTGCTCTGAGGCCAATAGCTGGAAGAGGGGGTTTAACTGTCACCTGTCCCTGGGGGCTTGAGCAGCCTTGAGTAGCGAGGGCAGAGGGGAAATGCAAATCCATGCTTGGGAGAGAGAAGAACTCCACAGAGAGAAAGAGGGCCCAGCCTTCCTCTGGGGCTTGTGGTCCCAGAAGAGCCCGAGGAGGCCCAGGGAGGTCTGAGGCAAGGGAGCGATCGCGGGCTCTGGGAGACGCCAGCCGCTGCCACCCTTTGTGCAGACAGCTGCAGCACTGGCACTTTCTCTGGACAGCTGAGTAGACTCACTTCCTCAGCCCTGCACCCCAGGGGAGCAGGGAGGTGGGGGCGGGGTCTGGAGCTGGGGCAGGGCAGTGGTGGGGGGGAGCAGAGATGAGATGGAGGTTCGGGTGGGCCTGGCATGTCCCTGGTGGACAGGCCTTGGAAGGGCATGTCTATTCTGCTTCTGCAGCTGGTGGGACAAAGCTTAGACTGGAAGGATCCCCTGGCTTTCCGCACCCTTCCTGTTAGAGACACTAGAGGCCAGAATTGAGAACGACATAGTGTCCTTGCAGAGGGATTTCTCACAGCAACTGGGAGGCAAGAATATGAGAGAGGAGCAGCCCTTGGCCAGTGTTTCTACAATAACAAGCTGTTATATCAGTGTGGCATTACCAGGCTCAAAACTGGCCACTGCCGTCTTTGCATCTGACC